AAATGTACATAAATAAACTAAAGATACATTGTATGTAGATTATTTTTTAATTTGAACGGTACGGTATTAATACTCTCGCCGTTACGGTCTGCTTTCTTTGGATTAGAAAATCCAGTGTTATAATGAGTTGTGTACAGTATCGCTGTTTTATATAAATAAGGTAAATCTAAGCGTAGATATAGGCTTTATGTCAGTAAGATTTTTTTTGTTTTTTAGAAAAAAATTGAGGTCCCCACTAGAAAAAAACTAAATTAATTAATAATTTGCTCTTTGTGTAGAAAAACTAAAATAAAAATACACAACATAACACTTAGAGTTAATAAAATTAATCAATTAATAACATTATACTTATAGAATTAATTAATTAATAACACTATACTTATAAAGCCTAGATCTAATGCCATGTACATGTTAATTGGTCGTTAGCCACCAGTAGTTTTTATTTGTGTATGTTCCTTTTAATTTTTCGGTAATTGGTAGTAAATAACTATATCGCCAAGGTATATTATTATCGTGTATTGATGAATGTGGGGGGTACCCCAACTTTTTATTGTTATTTCGTCGCGGATAATGATATATCAATGGTACGCCGTTATTATCTTGTATATAACCATTATAATCGAGATACAGAAATGCCTCAGGCGGGATGAAGCCGGTGCATAATGCTTTTTCGTGATACATCGGATTGGGATACAACGCACATTGTATTTGACTATTTTCGGTAATTCTGCTCACTTGACGAAAATGTTCGCGAATTAGTTTGATAATGAAATTGTCTATCCTAGGTATGCCTGCTTCGTTATATATTTTTACGTTGTTTATGTATTTTGTGTAATCTGATTCTGCCGATCTGTTCCTGTTAAGACAGGCTCTCAGGCATTTTCTTTCGAAAATTCGAATTTTCTCCATAAGCGACACACTGATGTTATACCATATGGGACATCCATATGTTATTAGGGGTCTTATTAGTAGTTGGTAACAGATTATTTTTATTTTTGTATGTAATATTTTTGAATAAAAAAGTCTACGCAAGTGTCCAAATGCCTTATTAGCCTTGAGGATCTGTGTGTCAATGTGTGTTTTGTAATGTAGTCTATCGTCTATATTAATTCCCAAGTATTTGATAAACTTCTTGTCTGGAATGCTTTGTGCGATGTTATCTTTGGGAGGACCTTTTATTTGGAAAGTTTTGTAGTTTTTTCTTACGTTGCTATTGGCATAAATTAAGTTAGATCTGAATATTATTGTTTCGCATTTGTTTATGTTAATGTGCAATTTCCATGTTTTGTAGTGATGTTCAAGCTTGTTAAAAGTATCCTGTAAGACGAGAACTGGTACTTTCAGCGTGGTATGGAAGTTAACGAAAACATTAGAAATGTGACAAAGTTTTAGCATCATTATAGGACAGACTCAAATATATTTATTGCAACAATTCTTTCCAAGTTTAATTGTCTGCTATGTTCTTCTCCTTATTTGCTAAACAAAACAATCTATTATAAATATTAATGTGCTTAGTATAAAAAAATCCGATACCTTGAACGAAAAATAACAAATTGTTTCTTTAAAACCAGTCTCTCCACTGAAGAGAGAATAAGAAATATAATGTAAAAAATTAAAATATCTTCTCCTTTTATTCTGAATCCTTATTATTTATTTTTGCGCCGTATGAAAATATGTACTCGTACCTACATAATTTAATTCCTGAACAAAACTTGCTTAATCTAAATAGAGTCTTTCCTCAAAAAGTTTCAGTAGTTCTTCTCTGGTTATATCATTCCACAAGCAAGTTGTCTCCTCGTCCGACGGTGTCACATCTCGTACGAGCTCTAAATAAGTTTCCAAAGGACAAAGTTCATTGCAGTCTGCAAGCTTCATAGTTATCAACTTTTCTGTTCTGCCGGTCCATAAGATAATCTACCAAAAACAGAAAGTAATTATCAGTATCAATATCGATAAAATAAGTTACACTCATGTAAAATACATAGTCTTACAATGCACATATTAAAATATTTTTTTATTTTAAATTAAATTATAAATAAAAATTCAACTTTTATTTTTAAATCACAATTCAATTAGTATCTGATTTATAATTCCAATTTACATTTTGTCAATTGGATTATTATGTGATAATTACCCTGACGTAGAGTTCACCAGCGTCATCTCGTAACTTCTCAAATATGAATGCTGAACCATAATCTGGTAAGCGCGGCTCGCTGATATTATGGGCTCCGGCAAACGCTGCAATATTTACCTCATGGGCGCTGTATACGTACATCTTGCGTGGAATCTTATTTTTTCCTGTGATGTTCAAATTGTCGATAAATTTCTTGATCAACATGCCGCCGTTCAATCGCTTTAATTGAGTCTTGTACGAACGAATCTCGTATTCCAACACGACTAAGTCCTGCATCTTTTGGTACACTTCGTCAGTGCACCACTCCGGTAAAGTTAGATTCATGTTTTTCTATAAAAAACGGATGAATAATAAAATGCAATAATAAAATAAAAGCAATTTGTGTACAATGTTATATAAGAGCCAATAAAATAAGATATAAATAATAAAATATACTATAAAGTATTGTAGTCATTAATTATTGAATATAGTACGTTATTACCACGTACTTTTGGCATTTTTAATAATGAAATTTCCAGTTCTATTTAAATAATTAAATTTTTGTGATAGTAAAAAAATAAGTTTTCCATAAAAAAATCTCAACTGATGTATGCGATGTATTCGATATGCAAAACAATTTATTTTGGTATAAATGTTTGATATACCTGTGCTGTTAGGTGATTGAAAACTTCGTAAGCGGGTTTTGGTTCTTCGATGGTTAATCCAGTTTTCTCACTCAAAAATGTTAAAAAGTCTTTGTAAATTGCAATTTTATCACGGACTTCTTTGGTTCTTTTTACCTCTTCTAAGGCTGCTATATATCTAAAAAATCAAAATAACAATAAATTATTTTTAGAAAATTGCATTTTCTTATATTGTAATTATAATTTAGAACATTGCTATTAAAAAACTATATTAACATTTTGAACAATATTTTGGAATTTTTTTTCTTGTAATAATAAATTAAAAAATAGGTGTGAAAACAATGTTTTCGAAATATAAAATATATTCATAATAAAAAATAAATATATTAACACTGGGCAGTTATGAGGTTTTAGCACTGTGTCCACTCTTTCAGGAGCGTAATGCGTAGGAATAGCTAGCCATGGTAAATCCGGATTCCATAATTGTGTTGGATGTGGAGGATATAACCCTGCTAACATCAACTGCAGAGACATTTTCGTCCGGTCGATGTCTGTGCTGACAGCATAGATATCTCGTGGATGATAAATTGACCCTAGAAAATCGTTGTAACGTTCTCTCAACATTGTGCCGATTCGATATTCCGTCAATTTTCCTTTCTGAAAAATAAATATGTACGTCTTGCTTATTTATTACAGTTTATCAATAGTCTATCATATTTGTACAGTAGTTAGTCAGAGTAGCAGCACAAGTTATAGCTTCAAATGCATAGAAAACAAAAAAAAACTTTTGTATTAAATAAATATATACAATGAAGTCAATATCTCAAAATTATTATTGCATAAAATAATTCTACATATACATCAATGTAATATTAATTAATGTTGTAATAATTTTGTGTTAATTGCATGAAGATCAAACTTTTAATTATGTATATATGTATATAAGATAAACTTTTAAGATCTGCGCGCTGTGTGATTAAAAATACATAAAGAAATATCTTGATATCAGTCACAAAACTAAATCAAAGAAAACTTAAAAAAAGTCGTAACATTAGAATAATATTTCCATAAGAGTTTTCGACTTAGCACATTAGTATTAGCACAATATTAATATGTGCTTACATTGGTCAGTTGGCCAAGACCCCAAGGTTCATAAACTGACACATTATATGGATCCCTGGGGTACATTTCCTTAAGTAACGGTGTACGTTCTCCATGTCTTATTAACTGAAACACATAGCAATTGGAATTGTACTACATTATTGTAACTTATGATTTAAATAGCATATATATTAACAGTGAAGTAATATATAAAAAATACAAAACAATTCTTTAATTTTATACACTTTAATTTTTTATATTTTAATTTTATATATCATTAATCCATATTCTAATTTTATAAATCTGCTATCATCAAAGTTTGATAAATATGTAACAATGTATTTGCATTTCAGCTTTCACTCACCACTTGAACCAATTCCACATGAAACTCAGATCGTCCTAGAGATACAAGCAAACTGAGCAAGAGCAAAGATATTGTATATAGATGCACACAATTCATATTTGCAACTGGTACGAATACAATACGGATTATTAAAAATGAAAAATTAAAAGCTATTATATTCCCTTGAATGATCGACTACTTGTCGTTGAGCGACAACATGTAAGACAACTGTGGATAAATCGTCCTTGTTCGATCAATGTATCTGCTATCAGCATGCTTACCCATATATGTTTTGATATATAGAACTTTAACATTGAGAGTTCGATATACTATCTCGGTGGACTCTAAAAAAATTGTATCCATATCTGTTGCGATATGTATGACAAAACAAATTTTATACTGACGCACATATTTTTCTTTGATAATAAATATTATTGCATCTGCACAAGCAAAAACTTTGAAAATTGGATTGCAGCTAAAGGTGTTACTTTGCTTCCTTCTTTAAGAATTGATAAATATAATTGTTAACATTATAATTAGTTCTAGTTATTTAAAATAAAAAAATATTAACACAATACAGTGTTCCCAGAAATGTTAAAGTTTTATATATCAAAGTACATGTATAAGTTGCTAAAAACAAAAATTTATTGAACAAGGGCAACTTGTCTATAGTATTACATGTTGGATGTTAAAATAAAAAAAAATGTTAACATCACACGGTGTTCCCAGGCGGTCACCCATCCAGGTACTAACCATGCCCAATGCTGCTTGACTTCAGTGATCGGACGAGAACTGGTATTTTCAGCATGGTATGGAAGTTAACGAGAATATGAAAGATATTAAAATGTTTTCTATTATGTTCTGTTTATTTGTTGCTAAGAATCCTTTGAGAACTGCTGTTGCAATGTATTGCTAATGCAAATTGATGTTAAATTAATGTGCATAAAAATTATATTGTATCATATAAATTTATATATGTATATACTAATCTAATATATTATTAGTATTATCAATTGTTGTTATTGACATTAATCTAATTCTTTTCTGCATTCTGGTACATTTATAAATCACATGAAAGAAATTGACTCATGCGTGTTATTGCATTAATTGAGCAATATAAAATAATGACACACAATCATTCTAAACTATAATTATTGTGCCAATTGTATCTTTAATTTAAGCACTGACGTAAACAGTAATATATCCCTTCTAAATGATAGATTAAAAAATGTTTTTAGAAATGTCTTTTAAAAAATGTAAAAATTAATTATTTGCATAGAAATTTCAGTAATATATCACTTATCCTTCATTTTTTAATCATGAAAGCTATTTTGATAGCAGTATACTATCATACCGTTCTATAGCTTGCAACATATATTTTAAGACTTGGCAGAGCCAAGTCACAGCTCACAGCAACTTGAAATAAATGACGCAATAAAAATTTTTGAGATGGACAGAATATGCATGTGTTTACGTAAAAGATAACCATCGTCCAATTGCCAGTGAGCACTGCTTTCAAAGCGCCTTCACGTAAAACAATTTTAAATCGGTGTAACCTACAAAATCATGCATCTTCACTCGATGACATTTACATACTCTCGTCGCAAACTGCATCAAGTTCATTTTTCGTGCAATGCTGCGCAATTGTGGTAGACAATGCAATGCAGCAAAGAAATAACAGCAACGCCGGCTGATGATGGTATAATGCATATTCCCGCGCCATTGTGACGAGATACGTTGCGCACGTAAAAATCCGTGACGTTTCTGCAACCACTCTTCGATGTTAATGCATCCGCTTCACGAAGTGTACTGATCGATCCTAATCCTAAAGCCGGTGGACTCATACTTATATTCTTGCAAGTGCAATTACACTCAATTTGCATAGATTTGAAGTTACGTAAAAAGTGACTTGTATAAAAGAAGCAAAAACGTCCATTACACTATTTGTCGCGCATTGCCCAGAGTTGCCAACCATCAGATCGGGCTCATATTCAAACAATTGAAAATCGCGTATTTAGCAGAGCGCTCTGCACAACACATATACGCGATTCTCAATTTTGTGCGTATGAGCCCGGTCTGCCGGTTGGCAGCTCTGCGTGTGGCCTTGAACATGCAATTAAATATTAACGATTACGTGTCCCCGATCATGTGACATTAAGCATGATATTCAAATAAATAATTATTCTGGAAATACCGCGCTATTCAAGTTATTTTTTCTTCCGTATGTGATGGTTAATGTTACAGTAATTATTTTCTTACCAATTTATGTGTCAATTAATTTTAATTATTTTGTAATAAAATAAAAAAAAAGATGTGCCAACATCACACGGTGTTCCCAGGTGGTCACCCATCCAGGTACTAACCGTGCCCAACGCTGCTTGACTTCAGTGATCGGACGAGAACTGGTATTTTTTTTTTTTACTTTTTTTAAATGTTTATTTATTGGGACATTGATAAAGAAGAGTTTACAGTATTTGTAATAAATGTACATAAATAAACTAAAGATACATTGTATGTAGTTATTTTTAATTTGAACGGTACGGTAGTGATACTCTCGCCGGTCTGCTTTCTTTGGATTAAAAGATCCAGTGTAATAATGAGTTGTATACAGTATCGCTGTTTTATATAAATAAGGTAAATCTAAGCGTAGATAAAGGCCTTATGTGAGTAAGATTTTTTTGTTTTTTAGAAAAAAAATGAGGTCCCCACTAGAGAAAAAAAACTAAATTAATTAATAATTTGGTCTTTGTGTAGAAAAAATAAAATAAAAAATACAATATAACACTTAGAGTTAATAAAATTAATTAATTAATAACATTATACTTATAAAATTAATTAATTAATAACACTATACTTATAAAGCCTAGATCTAATGCCATGTACATGTTAAATTGGTCGTTAGTCCACCAGTAGTTTTTATTTGTTATTATTTTTTTTTAATTTTTCGGTTAATTTGGTAGTTGGTAATAACTATATCGCCAAGGTATATTATTATCGTGTATTGATGAATGTGAGGGGTACCCCAACTTTTTATTGTTATTTCGTCGCGGATAATGATATATCAATGGTACGCCGTCATTATCTTGTATATAACCATTATAATCGAGATACAGAATGCCTCAGGCGGGATGAAGCCGGTGCATAATGTTTTTTCGCGATACATCGGATTGGGATATAACGTACAGTGTATTTGACTATTTTCGGTAATTCTGCTCACTTGACGAAAATGTTCGCGAATTAGTTTGAAAATGAAATTGTCTATCCTAGGTAGGCCTGCCTCGTTATATATTTTTACGTTGTTTATGTATTTTGTGTAATCTGATTCTGCCGATCTGTTCCTGTTAAGACAGGCTCTCAGGCATTTTCTTTTGAAAATTCGAATTTTCTCCATAAGCGACGCACTGATGTTATACCATATGGGACATCCATATGTTATTAGGGGTCTTATTAGTAGTTGGTAACAGATTATTTTTATTTTTGTATGTAATATTTTTGAATAAAAAAGTCTATGCAAGTGTCCAAATGCCTTATTAGCCTTGAGGATCTGTGTGTCAATGTGTGTTTTGTAATGTAGTCTATCGTCTATGTTAATTCCCAAGTATTTGACAAACTTCTTGTGTGGAATGTTTTGTGCGATGTTATATTTGGGAGGACCTTTTATTTGGAAAGTTTTGTAGCTTTGTCTTACGTTGCTATTGGCATAAATTAAGTTAGATCTGAATAATATTGTTTCGCATTTGTTTATGTTAATGTGCAGTCTCCATGTTTTGTAGTAATGTTCAAGCTTGTTGAAAGTATCCTGTAATGTTTGTTGTATTTTCGTGGGCCAGCTGTTTGCCGAGTAGACAATTAAATCGTCAGCGAAGGCTATTGCCTGGGGATTTCTTGGTGTGTTTAATTTGAAGATTTTTAATATTTCTGCTGTGTATATGTTGAACAATATTGATGAGTTTACAGTTCCTTGTTGTAAGCCGTTGTGAATTTTAAAAGTCCGTGTGGAGTAATTCTCACCACTAGCGACTAGCAATGATCTATCAGTAGACGAGAACTGACTACTTTCAGCGTTGTATGGAAGTTAATGAAAACATTAGAGATGTGACAAAGTTTTAGCATCATTATAGGGCAGACTCAAATATATTTATTGCAACAATTCTTTCCAAGTTTAATTGTCTGCTATGTTCTTCTCCTTATTTGCTAAACAAAACAATCTATTATAAATATTAATGTGCTTAGTATAAAGAAATCCGATGCCTTGAACTAATACTTACAAATTGTTTCTTTAAAACCAGTCTCTCCACTGAAGAAAGAATAAGAAATATGATGTAAAAAATTAAAATATCTTCTCCTTTTATTCTGAATCCTTATTATTTATTTTTGCGCCATATGAAAATATGTACTCATACCTACATAATTTAATTCCTGAACAAAACTTGCCTAATCTAAATTGAGCCTTTCCTCAAAGAGTTTCAGTAGTTCTTCTCTGGTTATATCATTCCACAAGCAAGTTGTCTCGTCGTCCGATGGTGTCACATCTCGTACGAGCTCTAAATAAGTTTCCAAAGGACAAAGTTCATTGCAGTCCGCAAGCTTCATAGTTATCAACTTTTCTGTTCTGCCGGTCCATAAGATAATCTACCAAAAACAGAAAGTAATTATCAGTATCAATATCAATAAAATAAGCTATACTCATGTAAAATACATAGTCTTACAAATATTAAAATATTTTTTTAAATTAAATTAAATTATAAATAAAAATTCAACTTTTATTTTTAAATCTCAATTCAATTAGTATCTGATTTATAATTCCAATTTACATTTTGTCAATTGGATTATTATGTGATAATTACCCTGACGTAGAGTTCATCAGCGTCATCTCGTAACTTCTCAAATATGAATGCTGAACCATAATCTGGCAAGCGCGGCTCGCTGATATTATGAGCTCTGGCAAACGCTGCAATATTTATGTCATGGGCACTGTATATGTACATCTTGCGTGGAATCGTATTTTTTCCTGTGATGTTCAAATTGTCGATAAATTTCTTGATCAACATACCGCCGTTCAATCGCTTTAACTGAGTCGTGTACGAACGGAGCTCATATTCCAATTCCATTAAGTCCTCCATCTTGTGGTATACTTCGTCAGTGCACCACTCCGGCAGAGTTAGATTCATGTTTTTCTATAAAAAGCGGATGAACAATAAGACGCAATAATAATAAAATAAAAGCAATATGTACAATGTTATATAAGAGCCTATAAAATAAAATATAAATATTAAGATATACTATAAAGTATTGTAGTCATTAATTATTGAATATAATACGTTATTACCACATACCTTTGGCATTTTTAGTAATAAAATTTCCAGTTTTTTTTAAACAATTAAATGTTTGTGATAATAAAAAATTAAATTTTCCATAACAAGATCTAAACTGATGTTTGATATGCAAAATAATTTATTTTGATATAAATGTTTGGTTTACCTGTGCTGTTAGTAGATTGAAAACTTCGTAAGCGGGTTTTGACTGTTGGATGGTTATTCCAGTTTTCTCACTCAAAAATTTTAAAAAGTCTTTGTAAATTGCAATTTTATCGCGGACTTCTTTGGTTTCTGTTACCTCTTCTAAGGCTGCTATGTATCTAAAAAAATCAATATTAGAATCAGTTATGCTTAGAAAATTGCACTTTTTTATATTGTAATTGTAGTTTAGAACATTGCTAATAAAGAACCTGTATTAACATTTTAAACATTTAAAAATTTTTTTTTGTAATAATAAATTAAAAAATAGATATAAAAATAATGTTTTCGAAATATGAAATATATTCATAATAAAAAATAAATATATTAACACTGGGCAGTTATGAGGTTTCAGCACCGTGTCCACTCTTTCAGGAGCGTAATGCGTAGGAATAGCTAGCCATGGTAAATCCGGATTCCATAATTGTGTTGGATGTGGAGGATATAACCCTGCTAACATCAACTGCAGAGACATTTTCGTCCGGTCGACGTCTGTGCTGACAGCATAGATATCTCGTGGATGATAAATTGACCCTAGAAAATCGTTGTAACGTTCTCTCAACATTGTGCCGATTCGATATTCCGTCAATTTTCCTTTCTGAAAAATAAATATATATGTCTTGCTTATTTATTACAGTTTATCAATAGTCTATCATATTTGTACAGTAGTTAGTCAGAGTAGCAGCACAAGTTATAGCTTCAAATGCATAGAAAACAAAAAAAAACTTTTGTATTAAATATATTTATATATACAAAAAAGTATCTCAAAATTATTACTGCATAAAATAATTGTACATATACATCAATGTAATGTTAATTAATGTTATAATATTAATTTTGTGTTTATTGCCTAAAGGTCAAACTTTTAATTATGTGTACATGTATATGAGATAACTTTTTAAGATCTATATACGCGCCGTGCGATTAAAAATACACAAAGAAATATCTTGATATCAGTCATAAAACTAAATAAAAAATAAACTTAAAAAGAGTCAGAACATGAAAATAATATTTCCATAGAGTTTTTGCTTTGGCACATTAACACAATATTAATATGTGCTTACATTGGTCAGTTGGCCAAGACCCCACGGTTCATAAACTGACGTATTATATGGATCGTTGGGATACATTTCCTTAAGTAACGGTGTACGTTCTCCATGTCTCATTACCTGAAACACATAGCAATTGAAACTGTACTACATGATTGTAATTTATGATTTAAATAGCATATATATTAACAGTAAAGTAATATATAAAAAATACAAAACAATTCTTCAATTTTATACACTTTATTTCTTTATATTTTAATTTTATGTATATTATTATTCCATATTCTAATTTTAAAAATCTGCTATCATCAAAATTTGATCAATATGTAGCAATGTATTTGCATTCCAGCTTTCACTTACCACTTGGACCAATTCCACATGAAACTCAGATCGTCCTAGAGACACAAGCAAACTGAGCAAGAGCGAAGATATATATAGATGCACACAATTCATATTTAAGACTGGTACGAATACAATACGGATTATTAAAAATGAAAAACTAAAAGCCATTATATTTCCTTGAAAGATCGACTACTTGTCGTTGAGCGAGAACATGTAAGACAACTGTGGATAAATCGTCCTTGTTCGATCAATTTATCTGCTTACAGCATGCTTACCTATATATGTTTTGATATATAACTTTAATATTGAGGGTTTGATAAAGTATCTCGGTGGACTCTAAAAAAATTGTATCCATATCTGTTGCGATATGTATGACAAAGCAAATTTTATACTGACGCACATATTTATTTTTATAATAAATATTATTGCATCTGCACAAGCAAAAACCGTGAAAATTGGATTGCTACTAAAGGTGTTACTTTGCTTCCTTTTTAAGAGTTGATAAATATTATTCGTTAACATTATAATTAGTTTTTGCTATTTAAAATTTAAAAAATATTAACATTTTACAGTGTTCCCAGTAATGTTAGTTCTATATATCAAAGCACATGTGTGGGTTTCTGAAAACAAATAAATAGATCGAACAAGAACAACTTGTCTACAGTATTACATGTTCGATGTTAAAATAAAAAAAATGTTAGCATCACACGGTGTTCCCAGGCGGTCACCCATCCAGGTACTAACCGTGCCCAATGCTGTTTGACTTCAGTGATCGGACGAGAACTGGTTATTTTTTTTTTTTTTTTTAATTGTTTATTTATTGTGTGTGTGGGACATTGGTAAAGAAGAGTTTACAGTATTTGTAATAAATGTACATAAATAAACTAAAGATACATTGTATGTAGTTATTTTTTAATTTGAACGGTACGGTATTAATACTCTCGCCGTTACGGTCTGATTACTTTGGATTAGAAAATTCAGTGTTATAATGAGTTGTGTACAGTATCGCTGTTTTATATAAATAAGGTAAATCTAAGCGTAGATATAAGCCTTATGTCAGTAAGATTTTTTTTTGTTTTTTAGAAAAAAATTGAGGTCCCCACTAGAAAAAACTAAATTAATTATTAATTTGCTCTTTATGTAGAAAAACTAAAATAAAAAATACACAACATAACACTTAGAGTTAATAAAATTAATCAATTAATAACATTATACTTATAGAATTAATTAATTAATAACACTATACTTATAAAGCCTAGATTTAATGCCATGTACATGTTAATTGGTCGTTAGCCACCAGTAGTTTTTATTTGTGTATTTTCGTTTTAATTTTTCGGTAATTGGTAGTGATAGCTATATCACCAAGGTATATTGTTATCGTGTATTGATGAATGTGGGGGGTACCCCGAACTTTTTATTTGCTATTTTCGTCGCGGATAATGATATATCAATGGTACGCCGTTATTATCTTGTATATAACCCTTATAGTCTAGATACAGAAATGCTTCAGGCGGGATGAAGCCGGTGCATAATGCTTTTTCGTGATACATCGGGTTGGGATACAACGCACAGTGTATTTGACTATTTTCGGTAATTCTACTCACTTGGCGAAAATGTTCACGAATTAGTTTGATAATGAAATTGTCTATCCTAGGTATGCCTGCCTCGTTATATATTTTTGCGTTGTTTATGTATTTTGTATACTCTGATTCTGCCGATCTGTTCCTGTTAACACAGGCTCTCAGGCATTTTCTTTCGAAAATTCGAATTTTCTCCATAAGCGACGCACTGATGTTATACCATATGAGACATCCATATGTTATTAAGGGTCTTATTAGTAGTTGGTAACAGATTATTTTTATTTTTGTATGTAATATTTTTGAATAAAATAGTTTACGCAAGTGTCCAAATGCCTTATTAGCCTTGAGGATCTGTGTGTCGATGTGTGTTTTATAATGTAGTCTATCGTCTATATTTATTCCCAAGTATTTGACAAACTTCTTGTGTGGAATGTTTTGTGCAATGTTATCTTTGGGAGAACCTTTTATTTGGAAAATTTTGTAATTTTTTTTACGTTGCTGTTGGCATAAAT